CAATAAATGACCAGTAAAGAACTGGTAAGTGTCCAGAACCATATTGCCAAAGTGGCTTGTTTGTGCTAGTCCTGTTTTAAAGTGTACTTACTATAGTATTGCATAATTCTTACAGAATTCACTGTAGAGAATTCAGGGACTGGAGTCGTAGTTAATTGCCAGTGCTGACTCATTTGAGGTGCTATCCCAGTTATATTTTATAGGTTTTAGAAGAATTCTTAAAGTTAATGTATATCAACCAAGGAGGCTTACCAGATCTTAGAGGAATGGACTGAAACTGTCCTGATCTGAAAATTAACACCCTTCTGCCCGGCATTTACTAGCAAAGGATGGGGCTACCATTTGTCAAAGCCTGTCAGTGAACAAGGTCCCTGGGGAGCCAGTGAAACAGAGTCTGAGAATTCAGTCTCTGGTGCCAGACTGCCTGGCTTCAGCCCCAAGCATTGTCACTCGCTGGCTGGGGGACTTGGACAAGTTAGTTAACCTCAGTGCTTCTTGTTTCTTCACTGGTAAATGGGGATCATGTCTCTTGGGGTTTTGAAGATTGTTCAATGAAATAATGCCTATGAAGTACTTTGTATGGTGGCTGCACATCGGAAGAAAGGGTAGTTGCTGTTTTAGTAAAATTTAATATGGGTTTGATGGGTCTGGGGAAATGGTGTAGATCACCCCAAAAGGCTGTTTTTGTTTAGAATATTTGTGGGCTGAATTTGTCTGTGGTTGTTCATTACTTGGTGACTCCCCACAGGAGATGTGATTATAGCACAAACCACCCTCAACTCTATTCCCCTTCTTATAGGACAGATTGGCAGCCCTAAGGCAGAGATAGGAAATTGCTCTCAGAGAGTTCGGAGATTGAATTAAGTTGACACAACCTTTGTGATCAGACACAGGCAAGTAAGGCTGGACTGACCTGTTTGAAGTGTCCATGGTAGAAATTATATTGTGGGATCACACTTAGAGAGCTGATGCTAAGCTAATGGCATGATGCTGTTAAGGGAGAAGAATGAGCAGGCATAGAAACTGGTGTCACTTGACTTGAAAAGTCAAGTGTAAGTGAGCAGGGACATAGTAGTGTGCTTCAGGATTTAAGGGTTTGTTGTATGCATTGTTGACTGGTCCTCACTCCTCAGCAGAACTTTAACCACTACCAGCCTCACTACGACACTCTCCACCCCCGCCTCCACCTCCACCTCCACCCCCGCCTCTACCCTCACCACCACTACTAACAACACCAGCACAGAGGACACAACAGTCCAGGGCCTTTAAGGACTCCAGCTGGGAGGATCCTTGACTCTTTACCAAGCTCTGACTCCAGCCCCATGGTTGCTCCACCTGGCTAGCTTCTGTCACCTGCTTGCCCTTCACCACTTTTCTGTCTTTCAGTCTGCCTGTAGACCTCTGTCTGTAGATGAAGGAGGAAATCTGCAAGTATACTTCAATAGCCTTGATTTTCTCTGACTTTATGAAGGATTACTCATCTTTTATCATTTGCTTTATAAATAACTGGAGTTAAGTAGTTTGACTAGTTACATTTAAAGCAGTTGTCGTAGTTGCAAAGTGTTTGATCGAGTTTCATTCATTATATTCAGTTGTTGGTTTGCTCCAAAGAGGAGGGTTTCTGCCAGAAATTCTTCTCCTTGCCACTTACTACTGTTTCTTCTTCCTGTTTGCCCTTCTGGCTGCCGGTCCCCATGCCAGGGGCAAGTTAGCATGTTGTCCTGGGGCTGTACATGTCCTGTGACTGAAGTGAGTGTCTCCTCTGTGATCGGAGTGGTTAAGGCCAGTCTGGACTCAACTAAAGACAAGGAGTGTGCGTCTGGGCACCCTTTTCCTCCCTCTGCAGCCTCCCTTCATTTATTCACTCCAAACCAAAGTTGCTTGTAGGGAGGAATCAGGCAACTCATTAAGGGCGAGGCAGCAACACAGGTTAGCAGTGGAGCAACAAAACGGAACTTTAAGTGTGGAATTCCATCTGCTTAAAGGAGAAGCTCAGGGAGGGCATGGCTCACACCTCCAAGTACTCTCATGGCCACACAATACTAATTTATGTATCTTGCACCTTTTAAGCTCTTCGCCTTCGACCTGCCCTTTTGCGGAGCCTCTGTCAGCTGATCTCTCACAGGAAGCAACCCTGAAGCACTGTGCTCCTTTCCTGAGCTGCTCGACCCTGGCCAGGTCCTCGCCTCCTTGGCCCCCTCAGCCCCTAGACCACTAGCCTCTCAGCAGCAGGAGAGGCTAGTCACAGCCCTGATGGCCTCCTCTGCATCCAATACCAGTACAGTGGCATTCAGGAAATGCTTTGGGACTGAAGTGAACTGTATTTGTGTTACTTGGAGAGGGTGTTATATTTTAAACATGGAGAACATGGTAACCTTCTTCAAAAGATAGGTGAGAGGTTGTTCATTCCCTTTTCCTTGAATCAGTTGTTTGCTAGACCCCTACCTTAGGAGGCAGGACCATTCTTGTTAAAGAAGAGAACTCTTTGTGATTTCCATCAAGGGGTGCCGTGGGCTGTATGTACCTTTGACTGTGAGCCTCCTCACGGGACTTGCAGCTTGTTTGGAGCGAGCGTTGCTTATGCATCAGTGCAGGAGGGAGGAGAGCAGACTGTCCTGGCCAGCTGGGTCGCTGGGTCAGAGCCAGGGCTCAGCTGGAAGCACGGGCTGCACCAGCTCCAGCACATCCCCTCCTCCACCCCGTAGGGCAGCCAGGGCAGAGACTGGGGCCGGCTGATGACTGGGTAGGAGCTGATGAAAATGGTGATAGTATCAGCCCTAGCTGGCTTACTGTAGAATCTTTAGTTTCATTACTCACTCATCTGTCCTCTATCCCACTGTTCTGTGTCATATGGTTATCCTTTTGGAGTGTGTGCTGTGCAAAGAGACCAATTTTTTTTGTTGTTGTTTTGGGAATTTAAAAACTTATAACAGCCCAGCCTTATTCTAGAATCCTCCTTTTAGTTCTCTCTGAATGAGAAATAGCTTCTCTTTGTTTCATTTGTCCTGTTTGCTTCGGTGGGGCTCATGTTCACTAATATCACTGGGCTTGTAGATATCAAGGTTTAGGAAGTGTGGCCTCCTCTTTGCTCATGGGTGGCTCCTCCTCCTTGGATAGACATGAAGAAAGTACTTTGAATATTGTTGTTCCTTCTATGCAATGCTGTCTTTATGACATTGTTTTGCTGATCAAATTCTTATCCCAAGTTCCTCACTTCCATCGTCTTTTCCTCCAGTGGACATGGTAAGGATTTTTAAAGGACACATATGTGACATGTTTTGAGCTCAGTGGAAGAGAGAAGCCATCAGGCTCAAAAGTATTACTATTATTTAGATCCATGTTGTTACCAAGTGACAAAAAGTGCATTAATTTTAGAAATCATGGTAATCCCATGTTTGGTCTTCTATTCCTACTTAGCCAGGGTAATTGGCTTTCGCCTGAGCCCTACAGAATACTTCAGTTTACAGATTAAAAATAAATAAATGGGAAATGATCAGAAATGTTTTTATTGATTTTTTGCATTGTCTGTTTTTTTATTCTAAAAATAAATCTTTTAAAAAGTTGATTAAAAAGCTTCATTTTCTGGGAATGTTATGCATCTGCAATAAATAATAAATAATATTGTAGCAGTTGGCTGCCTCCACATTCATGCAAAATAAATAAATACATTTGGTGACATACATTCAAGGAGTGTGATTCTTGTAATTTTCACGGAAATAAAGAACAACTTCACAGATGATAAAGATTTTACCATCTGCTAGTAACAAAGAAACAAAGCTTGTAACATGAGGCTCTTACTGAGGCTAATGTGTATATTGCCATGCCAGGAATTGGAATTCTTTACAACCTTAGGTCAACCATCCCCAGGGAAGCTGACCTGACTTTAAACATGTCAGGGGAAAGGTTCCTTTGCTTCTGAAGCAAATGATATGGTCCTCGCTTTGCAAATAGCAGAGGAGAGAAGAGCACTGAGTTTTAATGGCAAGAGATCAAAAGACAGACACTCTCTGCAATTATGAGAACCTGCACAGATTTCACTGGTAATTAGTGGACTGGTGGGCTCGCTGTTGAGAAGGTACTGTCTTTATGAGTCAAAACATTTAGTGTTAGGAAAAGAGTAAAAATTCAGATGCTTAGGGGGAGATGGGGAATACAAGGCCAGTCTTTCTTTTACAATGACATTCACTTTAGGCAGGTGACATTTCAGCCTCCTAGGCCTGGCATGATACGTAGGGGTGTGGTTCTAGTTAAGGACAAGTAGTGGGTGGGTTAGGAGGGCTGAAAGCTGTGGAGGCTACAGAACTGCCTATCAAGGAAGGAGAAAGCATTGAAGCATTGCCTCTCTCTGCTATGGAGAAACTGGGTGTGATTGTCACTGTTGGTCAGTCATTCTGTTTTTCTCTGATGGTGTGGAGGGTCCTCATGGCACAAGCATGGGGCCCCATAGAAGAAGGTTAGTGTGTTTCTTCTAGTAGATTATGTGTAGGTGGCCCTGGGGGTGTTCAGTCCTTAGTAATAGAAGCTGTAGGTTGGCTATGCAGGAAGAAGCTCGTTAGAGAGTGTTAGCTAGTGGTCTGCATCTTGGAGTGCTTCTGGTTATCTTTAGGCTTCAAGATTGGGAATGAGGGAGATTTAGGGAAGGAGGAGAAATACCCACTTCCCCTGTAATGCTGTATCTAGCAGTGATCCATCCTGACTCTCCGACCTCAGAAATGCAGAGTCTGGTATCTGCCTGGTTGATGTTGACTTTTATCCTTTCCCTTTGCCTTAACCATTGAAGCAATGTTGCAAAATAGGTAGAGTTTATAAATTTGTTCTCATTGCTATAGTTGACATTGTCCCTCCATTTTTCATCATGCCTCCTGTTTGGACCCTCTTTGGACCCTGATGTCCTTTGGCTTTTCCCCTTGGCCTTTGGGAAAAATCCCAACAAACTCATGCTCACCAAAGGCTGACCAGGTTTAAAGTGTTTCCTTTCTTGTGGTCTGCATTTCTTACAGGGGTGAAGACATCTTAAACCAGAGGAACGATTCTCTAGTTGTGGAATTTCAGTCGTCAGCCAGCAGATGCAGGAGGTATTATTTGGGGCATGGGGGCCTTCACAGAAGCCTGGAAATCATCCTCAGTGTCCACTTTCCTGCTCCACGTTTCATAAGGCCACTTTGTGCATTATACTAGTCTTGTGTGTCTGGTTGGCTTGCCATGGCCGAGGCAGCAAGCATGTTTGTGGAGGTGCCTGTGCATGGGGTTCTGCACAGCAGGTGCTTCCCAGGTGTCTGTGCTCACTGGAGAAGGGAGAGGCGCAGTGCATGCAGTGCAAGCCCATTTTTCTGACAAGTGCTGGTATTGGCCCACAAGTTAGCAAGCTCATTGCGAAACTAGAATTCCCCTCTCGGTTGAAGCCCACTTCATGCCCATCCACAGCATGAGTCCTGTGTCCTCAGAGCAGTCTTCATTTGAAGTCCATGGAATGTTCACAAAAGCTGGGGTTTCATATTGCAAATGCCTATAAGCAGACAGGCAGTCCCCCTCCTTTGCACTTGAAGCCTGGTTCTATGAATAAGAGTGTCACTTCCCTCTCATGCATCCCTTATGTCCCTGTCATCCCAGCCACCTCAGAGGGTTCTTATGATTGCAGTGTTCGGGACCTCTCAGTAAGGCTGTGACCACAGTCTCAGCCTCCTTTTTTATATGAAGGTCACTGGTTGGACTCCCAAATCTAATAACTTTGGGTAATGTACTAAGGATGAATTAAAATGCTAATAGGCTACACGTTCTGGGTATTTTAACATTCCCTAATCTTAAATTTAAATGAAATGCCTTAGGTGCTTTCATATCCTTGCCAGAAGCATATTTAGCATCACCCCTTAGACAGCAAATTTAAAGTCTATTCTGGCCACATGGACAGAGCTGGGAGGATTATCAGTATTTATTTTACGATGGTTTTATTTGTGTCCTCTACAGCTACATAACACAACTGTCCTTTTACTCAAGAGGGCAAATTAGCTAAAAAAAATCACTCTTTTCATAATTTTATTGGAACCCACAGATCCTTTCGTTATTAACAACATTTAAAAGCAATACATTGGATTATTGGCATCCAAAGCTATTCCGAAGCCATTGTGTCATCACCATGAAACATCCCTGTTTTATAATAAAGACACGGTGGTACAGAGAGGTGGTATGGTCCAGGTGCTGGTTGGGGGAGAGCCATATAATTAGGTAGCTGTCCTGGTCCACAGCTTAGGCATCTGCCCACTAGATCTAGTGGCAGCTCTAAGCAAAATGATGATAAGGTCCCTTAAACTCAGTGCTTCTCCTAGGGAGTGAAGACCCTGTTCACTTTGAGGGACATGCCAGTTTTGGTGATGTTCTGTTGTCTACACTGAAGCCAGATGTCTTCCTCTAGTGAGCCAAAAAAAACAAGTGTACTTCCTGCCTTCGGCAAATGGGTCACTTCCTTATTATTAGTTGAATTAGCCCCTTTATTGCCTCCTTATTAGGGGGAAGGAACACTATTTCTTCCTTAGTCCTCCCAGTTATCTGGCATCTGGTCACTTCATAATTGTATTTTGGGAGAATAGATATTAATTTTCTTCCACAAAAAGGCCGAGTTTCTTGATGACACACCATAATTCAATTTCCGTTCTTTTTCTTCGTTGCCTGCACCCCTTCCTCCTGGCACATTTTTCATAGTTAGGAGGAGTGTTAGTGTCAAATATATCAGAAGGAAGAATTGATTCAGTAGTAGTTTGACGACTTGACTGATTAACAGAGATCAGAAGAAGGCTCCTAACTGTGAAAACCACTGCAGCATGGAGTTTTAACAGCTCTTTAGGGAGCTAGTTAATGAAAGAATCACTAGAGAAACACAGCCATGCAAAAAAAAAAAAAGAAAGAAAAAAAAAGAACAGAAGTATTCCCATATAACACTCAGAGGCTGTGTCATAAGAGGAAATCTGCTCATAATTTCTGTTTACACATCGCTGTAATTACCGCCTGCCTTGAGATTACTTTTAGTCTTCTCCTGTCAAAGTTGCTTCGATATTTCCTCTTTCACAGATCAGACAGAGAGGTCTAATACTGGTTGGAACTTGTCCTAGGATTTTTTTTCTCCTTGAAGAACATAATTATCAGACACCCGAGCTCATACTGCTTGATTAGACCGGCTTTAATCCAATCCATGCTCTTGTTATCATTGCCATTTGTCCATGAGTAAGACTTTGCACTAAGGTGCACGTTAGCTGGGCTTTGGCCTTTAAATATTTTTTGTGTGGTTGTTCTCCTTTATTTCTCCTGATACAGTGTCTATGAACCAGATAGAAATGTGTTACGGAGGAAAGAGCGAGAGAGAAGAAATCAGGAGACTCAACAGGATGATGGAACATTTAATTCGAGTTACTCCCTCTTCAGTGAACCCTACAAGGTAGATGGTTTTCAGTTGTTCACGTTCACCCCTCACTCATACCTCTGCCCCCATGAGGGCAGTCTTGACTAGGAGAATTGACCAACCCAGCTCCTGTTAGTTTTCTGCCTGTTCAGCGCAGGAAAGATAGATCAGCCACTAGGAATGGGGTCTTCCCTATAGAACCATTTACACCCTCAGTAAAGTGTAACTTTTGCTTAATATTGAGACCTGGCTGCTGTGATTTTTATCAATTATATAGAACTCATCTGTGCATTGATTCTGAAAGTATTGCCATTTGCTAAGTTTTCTAAGCTATTAGGAAATGTATTTGTCACACATGGATCATGCTAGGATTAGTGTACCTGATAGGGCTAATAAGAAGGAAACTGTTAGACTGTTTCTCATTACACCAAAGGCCAGAAGTAGCACCTCTCTTCCAAAGTGAGATCTCTTGCCAGATTTCCCTACTCTCTTTCCCTGTGTGGAGCTATGCATAGTTCAGGCTGAGCTTTCTGCACATTCAGCCCCATGTTCATTTCAAGTTTTACTCTGACTTCTTTTGCCTCTCAGTCTGCGTTTCTGACAAGAATAACTATGTATTTAGAAATTGGAGGCAGAACATTTTGAGCCAAATCTGAATTTTCAAGAAAGCCTCTAGTGGGACTACAAAAAAGAAAAGAAAAGAAAAAGGCAATCCTGGAAAGAAAGCCCAAGACCATTTTGTGAAGTTGCAATAGTACGTTTTTTTATTTCTTTAGCTGCAACACATTGCCGAGGATAGATTTCCTTTTCATGTACCCCACATCTGCTGCCAGCATTCCGGTTCTGGTGCGATGCGGAGTGCCGACAGACATCTTCAGAGATGATGGTTCTGATTTCATCTCGTCTCACTTTGTGCACATGGCTCTGTGATCAGTAAAGGCTCCTTCCCGTTATTTCCCAAGTTTCTGTTGTCTCTAACAATGGGGTGGATGTTGTGTTTTTTTGTTTCTCCAGACTAACAAGGGGGATGAACTCTCCAATCGGATCCAGAATACTTTAGGCAATTACGATGAAATGAAAGACTTTTTAACTGATAGATCTAATCAGAGTCATCTCGTTGGCGTTCCCAAACCTGGGGTTCCTCAGGCTCCCGTGAACAAGATCGATGAACATTTTGTTGCAGATTCAAGAGCCCAGCCCCAGCCCTCATCTGTCTGTAGCGCTGCATCTTCCACACCAGCAGCTGTCCCCGTGCAGCAGAGTAAGAGGGGCACCATGGGCTGGCAGAAGGCTGGGCACCCGCCATCTGATGGCCAACAGAGAGCAAGTAAGCACGGCCACAGGTTGCTTGATTTGAACAGATCTGCTAACCCAAAGAACCATAATAAAAAACCTAATCACTGTGTGTCGAGCCCCTCATCCTCATCTTCCTCTTCTTCTTCTTCCAACTCAGCACAACAGGGCTCTCTCAGGACCTTGCTTGGAGATGGTGTGGGCAGACAGCAGCCACGGGCCAAACAAGTGTGCAATGTAGAGGTGGGTCTTCAGACTCAGGACAGGCCACCTGCTATGGCAGCCAAGCACAGCAGCAGCGGACACTGTGTTCAGAACTTCCCTCCTTCTCTGGCTTCAAAACCCAGCCTGGTCCAGCAAAAACCGACCGCGTATGTGCGGCCAATGGATGGCCAAGATCAGGCTCCTGATGAGTCTCCAAAGCTTAAGTCATCCACAGAAACCAGCGTGCACTGCACGTCCTACCGGGGAGTCCCGGCCACCAAGCCCGAGTCTACCAGAGCCAAGGCCAACAAGCTTTCCAAGTTCAGCATCCCCAAACAAGGAGAGGTGAGTCTTTTCTCAGTACTGCTTAGTGTCTGCGAGTCGTTCTGAGTGACTACCTGACAGAGGTACATTCAGTTCCATCAGTGTGTGACTGACTTCATGTGGTAGGATTTGGAGCAATCAAGAAAGGAAGGTGTACATTTAAGTCTTGATTTCTGAAAATCTCAAGTTGATTATAACAGAATTTTTTAAATGCCAACAAATGCTTTTGGGTATGTGTATCTGTGTTAGTTCAAGAAAGAATGCCTCCTTCAATATAGTTGAAGGGATATTATTTTGGGGGAACAAGCCAACATAGACGGAGATAAATACTAGAAATAAAAGTACTTCACAGTCTATAATTTTAGTATGTTAAGAAGTTAATTTTTATGTGAAGGAGTTCAGGAATTCAACATTTTTGTCAGCTTTGAAATGTTCATGGATAAACTTCACAAGTAAACAAACCTCACAATGATTTTTTGAGTACTTGTTAAATGATGCAATATTGAATGTGGTGGATATTCAGAATGTGTGGCTGATCTTCTGATCTTATGTTATAACATTGAAGACTCAGGTTTACTGATGTTAATCAAGTAAACATTCTCCTTGTCCTGAAAAATGATCTTATGTTACAGGAAGAGAGAGAAGTCTTTTAGCTCAGATTCTTCTGGTTTACATTTTAATTTTGTTTATTGCATTACAAAATGTGTAGGTTGGATGTGTGGCATATTAGAATTCAAAACAAGCAAACCATATAATCACAGAGGTAGCAAAGAGGCTATGACTAGGCACTCAACAGTATATCTGGATAGAAAATGAAGTTTTCTTTCGGAGAAGTATATCTCACATTATTTTCCAAATCGAAGACAGTTGTCAAGAGAACATGAGGAAGAAATATGACTACGTGTTTTTTGTTTTGCACTGATATCGTATACTAAGAAATAAATTGTGAGTTCTAGGACATTGTACTTAGGAACTGTTCATTTTTTTTCTTTTTGATCTATTATTTTTAAAAGATGGAGTAACAGTATGGCTGGAATATTCTTTGTATATCAGAATCTGATTTTATAACGAAATGCAACAAATGATTTGACATTTCTAACAAAGCTGAGTTTAACCACCTCTGAGCAATCATCTCAGAAAGCACTGTGCACCAGGTGGGAGATCAGCACATTACCCTTAAAAGAGACTTTTTTTTCTCTAACTCTGAAACATTTACACAGGTTCTAATGAGGAAATTAAGTGGCATGTATACCAGTAACTTCTTTTGATTATTCATTTATGATGGAAACTATAAAGCATTCATTAGGAATTAATAGATGCAAAATGTGACTTCTGCAAGCATTTATGTTTTTAGAAGTTTGTATGAAACACACACACATACCCCCTGACAAGCTGAATTCATCACATTCTTCTGTTTTTGTTATCATCAAACAGCTTATGAGGCCAACAAAGCATGGCTTATCCTTGAACAGAGGTGACTCCACCCACTAGGAATCCTTTTAGAATTTTAATCCCAGTTGATTCCTTGTTAAAATGATTTGTGTGTGCCAAAGAAACTTCAGTTTTATTAAGTAATGATTTATTTATTTCCTTTGTAACCCAGTGAGTTGATAACCCTCTGGTTAAAAGCCAGTTTTTGACAGCCAGGACAGCCTTGTGCAGTTAACTGTCCAGTTTTCATTAGGCATTTGGGTAGGACATGAATAACATGGACACTTTCAGGATGCTCTTTCAGGCACCCCAGATTGGGAATGACACCAATTGAGTAATCACAAATCCCAGAGATAGTCATAGCATACCAAGAGAAATTAGAGCTTTTATACCAAAAGCATCTTTTTTCTCCCATGTGTGATGTAATTGACCCAGTCAGCCTGTCCCTTCCTAACCTTTTATACTGAATACTCAAAAACACACCATTTATTTGTTCTGTGCAGTGCTGCAAGAGATTAAGAAATACCCTTTTGCAGGGCATTCCTATGAACTCCACAATTGGAAGATAGACACTGAAGAATGTATCAACTCATCCTATTTTAATTTTGGGGGAATATTTGCTTTTACTTTTTTGGAGGGAATACAATAAAATTTAGGGTGGCAAACAATTTAGAAAATATTAATGCCTATATAATTTTTACATAGATACTACCTATACAGAAGTGTCCTCTTAACAGTACTGACAGTGATTTTTAGTGAGGTAGAGAATGTTTTTTTAGGGAAATTTACAGAAGAAATGACCTGAAGGGAACTTGCCTTACTTAAGTTTACCTTTTTCCGGGTGTTAGCTATGAAACAAGACGCAATGACAGCGTGAAAAATTTGAGGCTAAAGAGAAGTGTTAGGTAAAAATGGCATACGGACAAGGGAGGAGCAAAGATAACAGTTTGGCTTTGTGTAGATATATTCGTCATAAGAAAATAAAATCAATGAAGAGGTGTAATATGATGTGAGAGATTTTTTAAAAATCCATTATATGATCTGTGTCTCCAAGAGATTTACATGAGTTGCATAAATCAGGCTCCAGCATTTAGCTTTTACTTTGCAATTTCCCTCACTTACAGCCCCAAAGTAAATTAATTAAAATTGAACTTCTAGCCCTAGGAAACTTCTCTCACCTTCATAATCCTTGTAGTAGAAAAATATTCTGTGTTATTTTTAAAAACTGAGAATTGGTGGATCTTTTCTTTTGCCTGATTTTATACTTCATAAATTCTTCATTCTTTCCCTTACAACATCTGCCCTCTCTCTGCTGCCATCCTAATTACTTGTTACGATTTTTTAGAAAAATTCAGTGCAGTTTGATGTGGAAGTTAAAGACCCTGAGGGAATTTCTTAACTGATACACCTGCTTCTTGACTGGTTTTTCCCAGCTCAGTTTTGTGTTTAATGAAAAACATATTTTTATTGTTATAGCTGAGATTTTCCTTCTTGTAGCCACCCCTCATTAAATGACCCTTCCCTAGGGTGTTGCTTGGAAGGGTGACTACCATTATGTGACAGACAGGGACTTAATGAATGACTGAAACCTGCATTCTAGAACGTTCTAGGGTAGGGCACACTAAATCTTATTTCCAATTGTAGTGAATGATTCTTTTGTTCACACACACACACACACATACACACACACACAATTAATGTTTGCCCTTAACATGTAGTTCAAGATCCAGATGTTGGGAATTGTTAACTTACAGGGAAAGATATAGGTTTTATAGGACCCAAGATTCATACTATCCTTGGGATCCTCTTTAAGAAAAAAAGAATAGGAAAATACCTATACTGTAAATTTTTACAAAAATATGTATGAATACATTGCTAGGACCCCTCCAGGAGCCTTGGAGGAACCTGTGTTCAGGTGTTCCTGAAGCTTATGTGTCATTAGCATCACAGAGAAGCTGTCTTTGGCTCATGGAACAATAAGAAATTATTAAAATGATAATTTCAGATTTGAAAAGAGTGCTTTACGTTAGCATCGTCCTTGGTAAAATTAAAAATAACATATGCTAGGTGATATAGGCAAGGAAAAAAAGAGGACAATACTGTGAAAAAGGCTGACGCAGAGCCATGGTCACAAAATATGGGTCCCACAGGTATTGAAATGAGTTTAGCAAGTTACAGTTTCAGCTCTGGTTTTCTAAAACATACACATTTTAGTTTCTGTTTGCCATTAACTTTAATAAATAACAATGGTTGGAAACTGCTTGTTCAGAGGTCTCTGATGGCTAGACATGGAACACGTTTTAGAAGCCAGGTAAGAGAGGGAAGCAGTGGCTGCTGCCCGAGGCTTAGTCAGTGATAAGGAAAGAGACACCTCCCTTTGAATATCAAGTAATAGACTGTGTATTAGGAGTTGGAATAGTGGTTGAGAATTCATCCACTAGAACAGAGTAACCGTTTTTGATTGATCAGAACTTCATTTTAAAGTAAGTGATTGAATAGTTGTATTGATTAATCATAACATTTTCACAATGGGCATTTTAAAATTAAGGTTTATACCTCAAGAACAGAAAGATAAAGCACCATGATTCCACTAAAAACTTCCTAGAAAAGCAATTAACTGAATTTTTTTTTTTTTAAGTTCACAGAAGATAAATGATGTAGGCTTCCTACTTCCTGTCACTCTTGGTTACCTTTGTATGGAAATGGATTTCCTCCAAATTAAAGTCGGTACCAGCCTTTTAGATGAAGAAGGCATCTGCCGGGCAATGTGTACATTACATATTCATGCCAGTCTAAATTTCCTAATTACGTTTGAGATGTAAACTGTTTTCAGATGAAGTATGCTGTCTGACTGCCCACTGATGAAATGAGGGTGTGTGGCCATCCTGGAGACTAGGTTTCCCTGTCTATTTGGTTTCGTCCTGTCCATAACCATCACCTCCACCCATCGCAGAAGGAAGCCATGTCCTGCGGGACAGTGTGGCTTAGTGACAGCACAGATGGTTATGCTCTGCTCTCCCCCCTCTCCAACATGATGCACGTCCTCCATTTTCTGAGTGAGGACATGGAAAACTTATACCGAGTCAATTTAGGAGAGTGAAGACTCACAGCTTTGATCTCAGATACTGGATGAAAGCACTTGTTTTCCATCTTATAGCTGGGTCATCCTGAAGGTCATAATGAAGCCTGGCAAGTGGAAATGTAGCTTTGATCTCAGATACTGGATGAAAGCACTTGTTTTCCATCTTATAGCTGGGTCATCCTGAAGGTCATAATGAAGCCTGGCAAGTGGAAATGTTTCCATATTTTCTGGTACTTTTATGGTCGGTCAGTTTATGTTCTGTCAGTGGGACCCTGAAACATAAAGTACTTAGTCACTTACTCAGTTTCTATAATTCTTTATTGAGAAATTTGAAGAAAGAATATTAAAGTGTGTCCTGTTATGTGAAGGTGCTGGTATCCTTTTTTGTCCCCTTTCCTCTCTGGGTTCCTTTAGATTTATATTAATAAAGCTGAGTTTTGTTGCCATAAGAGGATAACTACTCCTGTTATGGACATACTGAGAGTGGGACACGGAGGGAGGCTATTAG